ACCAGCCCACCCCAGGGCTGTGCCTGAGCAGGGGCCAGGGCTAGAGAGTGCGGCTGGGCGCAGCAGGCCCTTCGCATGGAGCAGGAGCGCCTCTGAGAGCTGCGGGCCTTACCCCCAGGGCCCGTCCTCACTGGGCCATGAGGAGGGGGGTCGGGCTCAGCCATCAGGGCGAGAGCAGGCCAGGGACTTGGCACTGAGGATTTGGGGCTGTCAGTGTAACGTGATGGTGCTCGTACAACACTCTTCAGTTAGTCTGGCAGCAGGAAAATTTGGCTTAAAAAATAGGAAAACAGTTGTGAGCTGGATTTTCCCTCCCTCCTTTGGGCGGTGTGTAAAGATGCAAATTTTAATCTGTGTGAAGTGCATGATCCCCCTTTAAACTGATGGTTCTGCAGGAGGATTCCCTTTTCTCTTGCCTAGTTTACCAGTGTACCATTTTTCAGAGTGGCTAGTGGAGAAGCATTTCCCTCAGTTAACGTGCTCTGTGTTCGTGCTGGGTCCCAACCCTCCAGTGGGGCGGCCGCGGGCACCCCCTCCCCTGCCGCGTGCTGGGGAAGCGCCGAGGCAAGCACAGGAGCTAAAACCAGGACTCCGGGGCTCCTGCAGCCTGGAAATGGAAAGATGGATACATTTTGTTCAGTGTAGGTTGAGGCAAACAGAAGGCATTGTTATGACAGGTAATTTTATAAATATTATTTTGGCAGATACTGTAATGTGCCAGAGGCAGGGAAGCCGTGCAGTGCAATGTGTGAAATATTTAAATTAGTTTTCTTAAAATGAACTTCGTGCTTTAAATAATAGATGTTTACCTCCCAGGTCAAAACTTAAATATTACCATTTTCACTGAAATGGCATCTTTTCAAAAGGATTCCATCGTACCCACAGTCTGCTGCCATCTACATACCACCAGAGAAGTGCCCCAGTCCTGGGGGACCTCAGGGTGTCATTTCAAGGCATCACAGGGCCCATGTGCCGCGCTGCTGGGCCATCTCCTGACACCGCGGAGCATGTCCTGGCCACTTGAGAGAAGCTTTTGGTCAAAGACTCATTTACAAATTGCATTAGATCTCACAAAATGGAATACTGAGCAGAAAAATTGGTAATCAATCTCTGGTTTTATTTTTACATTTACTGTTGTAAAAATATAGGTTTGAGTCCCATACGGAGTGCGTTAGGAAGCTCATTTAATTGGCAGAAGACTGGACGCCCACTCCCCCACAAGCAGATGAGAAGCCAGGTGTCCCAGACAGGCGGGTCTTGGTTTTCCACCCTCGCCAGACCCCACCGCAGTAGAGACACTCGTGTGTTCATATCCAAAAACTTTTCAGGTCGAACAGGAGAGGCACTGCACCTGCAGAATGAAGCAGTATTAGCAGGAAACACCTGGAAAGGAGCGTCCGGCGCGGGGCCGGCTCGTGCTGGTGTTTCTGTGCTGACGATGGGCTCCAAGGTGAGGGGGTCCGCGCCAGCCTGCACGTGCCCAGCGCGGGCGGGCAGGATGGAGGAGGGCTGAGGGGGTTCGTGTTCCTCGGTGATCTGTCAGTCCCACCACAGCAGCGCTGACCACGGGCCACCCGGCGTCTGCCGCGGGCACCTCCGGATTCCTCCATGGAAACAGGCTCCTGCCAGCTGCAGCCTTGGGCGCTCGCCCTTCCCTTGCATGCACACGCCTGTGAGACACCTGTGGGTCAGGGCGGAAGCTTCATCACGTCACTGTGAAAGGACCATCTGAAGATGGTCACGTCCACAGATGCCTGGGACTGTGTCTCATAGAGAGAAAGATGAAGGTGGGATGCCCAGCACAGGGTCTCCCACTGCCAGCCGGGAAGGAAGCTCTTCCCCACAAAATGCGGTGCTCCGGGGCGTCCAGAGGGCCTCTCTGCAAACGTGTGTGTGTCAGTGTGATGAACGTCTGTGTGGGTGTGAGGAGTGTGCGTGCTGAGTGAGTGTGGACAGCCCCAGCGTTCAGGCGTGGGAGCTCTTCACCCTGCACGGAGCTCTGCCACCACTGCGACCAAACCTCAGGCCGGCAGCAGGACCCCGGCGACCGCTCTGTGCTGTGGCTGTGGGCTGTTAGACCTCAACTAGAGCTCTGGGTTCTCACCTGGAGGCGTTTGCAGACGCCGGGTACCAGGAAGGCGCCCCGGGCTGCATGTCCCAGGCTGCTGGAGATCCATCCACTTGAAGCTGAAGTCATTCATTTCTGGGGCTGTGAACGTGAGGCAGGCAGCCTGGTCTTGGAGGTGTGGTTTCTTGTGTCCGTGTTGTGACATCGAGCCAGCGGTGTTGGCCACGGAGGCAGTGGCACTGATGTGTTGTGGTCCCACGTGTCCGTGGCCCTGCCCACAGCCCTCTGCCACCCCACCTGGGCTCCGCTTGCTCGTTGTCTGCAAATCTCCTGAACAATCGTCATCCTGTGGGACTTCTCTTCTGAGACCCAAAATTTGTAAATGACTCCATGTCTGGTAAATGAGATCAAAACAGTAGGTGGGTCTCATCACCTTGGTTTTGAGTAATGGGTTACTGCCTGTTTGAGCCACACTTCAGCAGCTGGCGTTTGCTTCTCTGCCTTAACACGATCTGTATGTTGGGCCCCTTTTTAAATCTTAAATATAACACTGCGGATGTTCATGTTGAACCATCTAAGTCGGTTGAGGGTGCAAGTGGGAATGTCCCTAGAAGGGATGGATTCGGGAAGGCGGAGCCTCCTGCTGCAGGCAAGCTTCGGAGCTCGGTGCCAGGTGCAGGCCCAGCCTCGCTGTCCCCCCACGCTTGGGACACCCCTTCCGAGGCCCCTGGGCAGCACATTCGCCTTTGTGAGTGCAGGCCCGGCTGTTTTCCTGCTGTTGGGCAACAGTGGGGAGGGGGCAGCTCACGTCTGTTGGGAGCAAGGGCCTGCGGGACCTTCCATGTCCCCGGGATGAGTGCCGGCCAGCAGCTGGCTTGGGCCCGGGAGGGTCACGGAGCTCCCTCCTCACAGTGAGCAGCCTGCTTGCACTGGACTGGATGCTGGAGGCCACGCTCTGCCCTGGACAGGCGGCGTGCTCACCAGCGCCTGCCACGCTGGGGTCCTGCCACACTGGCTGCAGTGCCGGTTTCTGTACCCCGTTTCTGAAGCTCATTACTTAGTTTGGCACACTGACCTGTGGGCCTCGTGGCATCGTGCTGAAGGCTGGCCAGTGCGTGGCCACAGGGGCCGTCTCACTTCCCTCTTTCCGTGTGGAGGGCTCATGTTGACACCATCCCAGTGGGCTTCCCATTCTCTCTGTGACACCTGGGAATGGTTTTAGCTCCACCATCCCCAGAGGCCTCCTGCAGTGGGCGGCTCACCTCCCTCGGCCTCCCCGGGACCCCTGTGTCCTGCCTCCCTCTGCCCTGGCAGTGCCATGCTGCCCAGGGTAGCCTGGGCTCCCTTCCTGGCCCCACTCCTCTGTCCCAGTTGCTCTGTGGCACCTCCCTGGCATCTTTCCAGGCAGGGCTGGGGCCCCCAGGGCAACCTTCTTGAGAGCAAGGCGGAGCTGCGGCCCCCGCCAGCCGCCTCATCTAGCCGCGCCCTGGGGACGCCTACTGGGTGGTGGACCCGCTGGTGGGTGGACAGTGAGAACGTCCCCTCCTTGGAGTCCTGTGCAGCCTGGCCTCTGGGCTGGTTCAGAAGCATCGATGGTGTCCCGATCCTGAGCCCGGGGAGTGAGACTTGGCGATGGGGTCATGTGAGACTAAGAATCAGCCGCAGGGGAAGTGAGCTGGGCCAGCAGCAAGGGGTCTTCCCAGTGTGGTGCTCGGCAGCCTCCACTCGCTTGCATGCCATTCCTTGAGGAGCTGGGCAGGCATCAAGGCCGTGGGGCCGGGGGCCAGGCCTCTGGCCGAGTCGTGTCCGCCTCTGGGGACAGTGCTGCAACAGGACATGGCTGTGCCACAGTCTGGATGGTGGTAAAGGTTGACATGCTTGAACATACTTGAGCTGCTAACGGTGACTTACCTGTGAGGAGGCCTGATGCAGAAGGGGCCGGGGGCGGCTGGGGGCCCCACGCCTCAGCTCCGGGCAGGGTTGCTGACCTCTCTGAGGTGCGGGAGTGGAGCCTGGCCCTCCAGCCCCAGGGACGCAGGGCTGTGTGTCTGGGTCGCCAAAGCCTCACTGGCGTTTGGGCTTTGTGTCCAGTGCACATGCCGCCTTTTCAAGGACTGGGCGCCCGGCCAGCAGCACATACGAACATGACCTACGTTGTGTGACACTGGTCATGGATGGGGCACAGACCTCACACCTGGGGGCTTCCTGCACCCAGTCTGGGTATGTGCCAGTGGGCGCCAGGGCAGCATTCAGCTACCACCTGCCTCTGAAGCAGTGAGGCCCTGAGCCAGGTAGAAAAGGGCTGATTTTGTTTATGTGCTGTCTGTCCACAAGTATCCTGTGTGCCGAGTAGGACTGGATCCAAATGAGGCTGGACCCTGTCCCACAGAGCACATGCCGGACCTTATTGGGGTGGGGGGCGCTGAGGCCGATGGCTGCATGTTCTCAGCTTTCTGACCTCCAGCTGCCACTCGCCTGGGCAGCAGAGGTGTCCTCACGAGATGCTGGTGACAGGCCGGGGAACGTGCTGGGTCCAGGGTCTGGGGAAGAGACAGTGGCTGGCGGGAAGGGAGGGCCGTCCTCCACCTGCCCCTCCTGGGAAATGAGCTCTGCTGGTCACAGCTGGACACCGGGCCCGGCGGCATCTGCATGCGCGCAGGTGTGTGTGCAGGGGTCCACGGGCAGCAGGAGCGCTTGGAGCTGACACCTCGCCAGGCGCCCTGGGACCTCCAGGGCAACGCAGCATTTTCGGACGGCTCGCTCTGTGGCACCAATATTCACAACAGAGAAAGAGGAGGGCGGGGTGCAGGGGCTCAGCGCCGAGCACCTGTCACAGGTTCACTTTTGAATTAGCCCGTGCTTATGAAAATTTAATTGATTCCAAGCAGCCTGCACTTGGGTGCTTAGCGGGAATTTCTTGTTCTCTCGCCAGCTGCATGGCTACTTGGAGGCCGAGCCGCTCACGCTGCAGCTGTTCATCGGGACAGCGGACGACCGCCTGCTGAGACCTCACGCCTTCTACCAGGTCCACCGGATCACGGGGAAGACTGTGTCCACCACCAGTCACGAAGCTATCCTGTCCAACACCAAAGTCCTGGAAATTCCACTCCTGCCGGAAAATAACATGCGAGCAATGTAAGTGGGGGTGGGAAGCTTTCAGCCGCTGGCCCGGTGTTCCCAAGCCTCCCCACTTTCAAAGGGCCCCCGCGGCCCAGGGCTCTCTGGCTTAACACTTAAGTAAACTGCAAATGTTTATGGCAACAGGTTTGTTTCCTCCCAGGGTTTCAGCCACTGTGCCTATTGCCACTTAAAATAAACACTCAATTCCACAGCTGTCCCCACCCGCCCGTGCCTGTATTCAGCTCCTGAACACGACAGTGTTTGTTTCCGATTTAGCAGTTGGTTGAAATGCAAATGGTGACAAACCAGGGTGTCACCGAGGAAGTGCCAGACGCTGCCGACTGGCCAGCTCTGAGCTGCAAAGTCCCGTCTGCCCTATCGGTTTAGAGCTGATGCATTGGCCGAAGAAAGATGCAGAGCTGCCCCACGAGCTTGCCTTCTGCTGGGCTTTGGGGGACAGACAAGCACACACTGGAAAAGTGCATCAGGGTGTGCTGGTTACTGACATGGGGGTCGTGAGGCGCTGGGCCCCTGGAGGTGGGCAAGACGTCTCTGAGGAGGCGTCACTGAGCTGAGTGCCAAGTGAGAGGAGGGGCTGGCAAGCCGAGGTGGGGAGTGTGGGGCATCTGTGGGGAGGGGCAGAGCCAGGGGCGAGTGAGAGGCGCTGAGGCGGGCAGCCATGGCATGTGGGACTCGGATCAGGCACTCGTGACTGTTAAACCCTCTGAGTCAAGAACAAACAGAAAGTTCCCTTCCCGTGTTTGCTTTGCATGGATTCGGGAATACATACGCACCTCTGGATTGGGGGTGCGTACGTACCTCTGGATTGGGGTGTACGTACCTCTGGATTGGGGGGTGCATGTGTACCTCTGGACTGGGGGTGCATACATACCTCTGGATTAGGGGCTGTGTGTGTACCTTTGGATTGGGTGCACACACACCTCTGGACTGGGGTTACGTACGCACCCCTGCATGTGGATTTATTCCAGTCCTTAGATTTGCTGCTCAGTTGCCCAAGGCCAGGGTGCCCGGGGCGGCTGGAGAGCCCATGGGTTCCTTCAGAAGCTGGGACCTCTGCGCCACCACCTCCATCCCACTGCATGGGCTCGGGCGTGAGCGCAGCCCGGGTGCCCCAGGCCGGCCTTCCCATTGGCCTCAGTGTCAGCGCTGCTGCCCGGCTGTGCTGGCAGGTAGCGGTGTGCACAGCAGGGTGCTCGTGGGCCTTGTCCTCTGGGCTGCCCGAGGGAGGCACGGAGCTGCTTTTTCTGTGTGCAACGTCTAGCCGGGGCCCGGTGTGAATGAAATCACTAATCTAAGGGCAATCGCATGAAGCCCTAAGAAATCTGGGATCCTCGGTGGAGGGATGGCGGTGCTGCCAAGCCTTACATGAAGGGACTTTGGGAGGTGCCGCAGGATGCCCGTGGCAGGACGAGTGCTGGCCCTGCACCGGGCAGGCACGCCCGGCACACCCAGGGCGCAGCTTCTGGAACCCTGAGCATCCGACGCGTCCCACCAGGCTGCTCAAGGCCAGGCATGGGGCCCGGAGCCCACAGTGTGGGCAGGCTGCCTGTGGCTGCCTCAGCCCCACTGCCCCTGCCCCGTCTGGCCCCAGCGAGCCCCTGCGGTGCCATGTCTGGGGCCCGCGGCTGAGACGCTGTGGGTTTCCGTTGTCAGCATCGACTGTGCCGGGATCCTGAAGCTGCGGAACTCAGACATCGAGCTGCGCAAGGGGGAGACGGACATCGGGAGGAAGAACACGCGCGTGCGGCTGGTGTTCAGAGTGCACATCCCGCAGCCCGGCGGCCGCGTGCTGTCGCTCCAGGCGGCCTCGAACCCCATCGAGTGCTGTGAGTGGCCCCCCACCACGCTCCCGGGCCACCTTTTCTTTGCTGTCGGCCGTGTAGCGGTGACCTGCATTTTCCCATCCAGGCCATACGTGTCCCTTGCACTCATGGGAAGAGGGCGATTCCTCCGTCAAGGCAGCCAGGCCCCACGCATGTGGACTGTGCTGCTCCTGTGGCACAGGGTCTGCCACAGTGCCTGGCACCTACGGGGCAATGAAAACACATGGTCACATTTGACCTGACCTCACATTTCAGGAGCCCTGGGGCAGAGGGATGCTTATGATGGAACAAACCAAGTTCTAGACTGACTTCTGCCCAAGTCCTCTCTCCCTGGCCATCGCTTCTGCTTGTGTGTGTGGTCCCGCCTGGGGGGCTCCCCTGCTTCCTGCCTTGTGCCAGCCACACGTGCGGCCAGCATTCCCTGGTCGCAGCCCCACTAATGCCTGTCAGCACATGGAGTCACTGGTGAAGCTCTGTGGACACCGTGTCCCCTGCCTCCCATGGCTGCTCTCCCTGCCCAGGCCGCCTTTGCCCGGCTCGCTGTCCTGCCGGCCCCTCAGGGTGTCCCCACGCCTCAGCACGGACCTCTCTGTGGCACGGTCTCTTCCATGTGAGATGGGTGGGAGGACCCTCCTGGGATCCTCCCTCGCAGGTCAGGTGATTACACGAGGACATGCCGGCCGCTACGTCTTCTGCTGCGCGGAGTCCCCTGCCTGCTGGGCTGCTTCCATGTCCTTCTGTCCCGCTGCTCCCTGACTGCCCCATTTCTGCAGCCGTGGCTCTCTGCGTCGTATTCCGCGGTGTCCCGCTGCCTCTGGGCTCCTGGGCCAAATCCAACCTCCGTCGGGCCTCCACACCCCAGCTGCTCCTGCCTGGCAGGTGTTGCTCTCCCGGGGTCCCCTCACCTGCCTCGCCTCTGCCCACCCCAGCCTGGGTCACCTCCTGGCCTGTGCCCCGGCCCCACACCCAGGGTCTCACTGTCGCTCCTGGGGTTCTGTCCCCACCGTGGTGGGCAGGGGGCCCTGCTGTGAGCGGTGGTGGCTCCTTTGCTGGAGCAGGTGCCTCTGTCCTCCACGCAGAGCGTGCCCGCAGCGCCCCATCAGTGGACTCCCTGCAGGCGTCATGGGGCCTTCGGCCACCCGGGGGGGTGTGCACGTCACCCACACAAGTGCCCGTGCTGACCCACGTGTGCACACGCCAGCGCAGACTGGGTTGCTCATGTGTCTGCATGGCTCCTCTGACCTGACTCGTGCACACGCGGCCTGTGCACCCCCCAGCTTTGCCCTGTTCATGCTTCATGACTTTCCCACAGGTCACCGAGGACCCCTGAGGGGGCCCCTCCGGGTGGGCCGGCCACACTATGGGGGTGCGGCCGGGAGCCTGTTTGCTCACATTGATTTCCTGGCCCCACGCAGCCCAGCGGTCAGCCCAGGAGCTGCCCCTTGTGGAGAAGCAGAGCGCAGCCAGCTGCCCCGTCCTCGGCGGGAAGAAGATGGTCCTGTCTGGCCACAACTTCCTGCAGGACTCCAAGGTCATTTTTGTGGAGAAAGCGCCAGGTATGGTGTTTGTAGTCAGACCGGCAGTGAGGTTCCTGTTTGGGGCGCAGGTGGGACCTGGCTCCTGGAGGCAGAGCGTGGCCCGCCCCTCCTGTGCTGGGTGTGGGGCTGCTGTGGGAGCAGACATGTGTCTCCGAGTGTGGGGCCCGTCCTTACACATGCCAGTTCTTGTGCAAGGGCTGCGGTTGTGGGGACGCCACCACAGAAGGCACGCTCATTCTGGCCGTGTGGTGGGCAGTGCCCTGCCCCCTCCCCTGGCGGTGTGGCCGCCTTCTTCTGGGGCTTCGGCTAGCTCTCACCCCGGGGCCCCCATGCAGGCTGCATCCGGGAAGCACACACACCGTCTGCATAGACCAGTCTCATTTCTCAGAACCACAGACTTCCCAGCAAGGCAGGCATCCAGGCAGAGCTTCCACAGTAGCCGGGTGGAACCTCCACGACACAGAGATCTTTACACACCTGCTTTGCATCCTTCAGGTCCCATTCTTGGTACCCAAGCCAGCAAGCAGGCGCAGGGTCGCTCAGGACCCAGGGTGTATGGGCAGATCTCTGTGTGTGCAGACCTGAGTGTGTGCATGTAGACGTGTGTGTGCGCACACGCTGAGGTAGATGCATGTGTGTGTGGCACACCCGGCTCGGGTGCCTGCCCATTGTTGCAGAGAAGCCCCTTGGCGCCCCCAGGAACAGCGAGCTGCCACCCCCTCAGGCTGGGGAGCAGGGCGCCTGCAGTGCCAGGCCACTGGCCTTCCTCTCCAGATCCCTTGGCACGATGTTCCCATGCCGGGGCTAATCACCAAACACCGTGAGGCATTCAGCCTCCATAATGGGATCTTGATTTTGTGCCGATTGCAGGAAACTTAAGTACTTCAAGCAAAATGGGCTTTAAAGTCTTGCCTGTTGACTTGGCCTGCCTATGTAATCATGTGCATAGTTGGAAAATATGCTTGAAATTACGGTGAAAACCCAACCAAGTGTAATGATAAGGAGAGGAGTTTGTGTTACTGGAATGCTCTCCTTTGGAGGAGGTCAATTTTGAAGTAATTTAACCTTCTGAGCTTTAACCTCATGTGCGTCCTGGAGGAGGGCTGCAACGGCCCTCAGCTGCCGAGCCCCAGGACATCCGTGATTGCAGCGGGCCAGGGTGGTGGCCCCCTTGGCCCGAGGAGTCGGGCAGCTGGCTCCGCTTTTCCGAGGCCAGCGGGGCACCTGCCATGTGCTCAGCTGTCTCGGGCACCTCGGAGCACCTCCTGCAGGCGGGTTCCCCGTGTCCCCACTATTGGGCTCATCTTCATTTTGTGGCCTTCTCTGGGGCCCCATGTGGCTGAGCACCTGCCATTCGCCCCTTGCTCCTGCAGCACCTCAGTGTGGGCACACAGGAGAGGTGGTGATGGGGCACCCCACAAATGCATCCTGCCTGTGACAGGCGAGATGAGAGCATCGTGGGCATGCACTACGTGCCCGTGGCGATGTCATGCTTGTGTCTCAGTGAGGTTGTGTGCATATTCACACCCTACACGCAAGTCATATGTTTCGAAAGGGGAGCAGATGTCCCCAGGTCCGTCTGTCTGCTTCTCAGCCAAGGCTGTACCCACGCACCTCATGATGTGCCCCGACGCGCTCTGTGACTGGGGCTAGGCTTCTCCTAGTTGATTCTGGAGAGAACATTGAGGTCAGTTTAGATGAAACACAGTTGTCTAGGCTTCATGGGGCTGCGAGGTTCTGTCTGCACGGCTGCAGGGTTGCATCAAGGCTGGAATGCGGGGTTCCTTCAGGAGGCCCTCAGCGTGGGCGGTGAGCCCCCCAGAAGCTCTGTCATCGCCCCGGAGTCCCAGGCCCAAGGCCGCTGAGCTTCCCCAGTCCCTGGCCAGGTCCCAGCCTGCCTGGATTCGGGGGTCCACCGCCTGGCTCACTGGGACCACCGGGATGACTGCCCACCTCAGGCTGCATGCCAGACCTTCCCTTTCAAGACCTCACCAGGTGCCCGAATGCTTTGCTAAGGCCCCAAGCCCAGCACGGCCCCCCCTTGCCTGTGACCGGCCCCAGTGGTGCCCTGTGTCTCTGCCTGTCTCTGGGTCTGTGCTGGCTCGCCCCTTTTTGCCACCCCCCACCCCAGGCCCTCACTATTTCTCAGCCCCGTGCCCTTGGCCTCCTGAAGGAACCCCGCATTCCAGCCTTGATGCAACCCTGCAGCCGTGCAGACGAGGCTGTCACTGTCACCTGTCTTTGCAAGAACCAGACATGCCCACAGGCAGTGCTCAACAGATGCCCCTTGAATGAAAGTAAAGACCTGGGAAAGGTGTGGCTTGGCAGGCATTTGCACAAATGGAAGGAAAGACGTGTCCATGGATTCGTAGTTTCTTTAAAATGGAAGCAGGAGTTGCTTCCTTGCGAAACAGGGCTTCCTACCCACCCTGGGAAGCCAGAGCCCAGACTCTGGGCTGATGCAGACCCTTCTCAGCCTGCCCTCAGGAGGAGCAGAGCCGCGGTCTTCCAGAGCCGTCCCAGGTGTGGGGTGGCGTTCGGCTCCTGATGCGCCTTTACCAGGGGTCTCTGAGCTCTGCCCGGCACCCCACGGAGCTGACCACAGCTTTAGAGCCCTTAGATCCCTCAAGTATACGGTGCGTGGGGCAGTGTGAGGGTCCCTGGCTGTGCTGGGGGTGGGCAGATACCCGAGGTCCTGCTCTGGCGCAGCCACAGCAGGGGCAGAGCCAGCATGGGTCGTGTTTGACTCGCCTGTCACCCACCTGACACGTGCGGAGACTTGGAGCCCGGCCAGCGCGCACGGCACGTCTCCAGGACTGGTGCCGGCCATGCCACGTGGAGGCCCTGGCTCCTGCCATGGCTGTGGGGCAGCTGGCCCGTTTCCGTGGGTGCTGGTCCCTGAAGGATTTCTGGGAATTTGCAGAAAAGGGCTTCAGCTGGGTCTCAGGGCTGCTCACACACGCTCCTCTCAGAGTCCAGGCGTTGGTGTGGGGAGGGGGTGCGCCGTGCGCGTGGGCCTGCGGTCACCTGCTTGCCGTGCCGGCCGGGGTAGCCGAGTCCCTGAACACCACCCGCCTGGGGGTGCCGGGCCTGCCGCCTGTGGCGCGCTGGTGAGCCGTGCTTGCTGCTCTGCTCTCAGGTGGGCTTTTACCTGAATTGAATGATTTTGCACAATTCTAAGTCACCCGCACTTTGAGCAGCCTTGGGAGATCAGTGGCGGCAGGGGAGCCAGCCGCCCAGACCCCCCAGCACCCCCTGTGCCCCCAGCCTGCAAGCCCATGAGGTGCTGACAGAAGGTGGTCCCGCACCCAGCACAGGTGGCGTGGGGAGAGTGGGCACCCAGGTCCCGCACGCGCAGCCCCAGCCCGACAGCCTCCACGCCTCGTGCAGCAGGGCCCAGCCGGACCCCCACCCTTCCCGGAGCAGGGGCACGGAGCCCCCTTGCCACCCTCTTCCCAGGACTGAGCAGCGCTGCCCTGTGCTCGTGTCAGCACTCACTCCACTTGGCTTTACGGAGCCGTGACCCACGGGCCACACCCACAGGCAGCCAGAGGCTTTGGGGAAGTCAGTGAGCAGCTGTCACCGCTGGCTGGCGAGCGCTGTCAGCACCCAAGAGCACCTGCCAGCTGCCACCCTGCTCCCCCCAGCCTGAGCCCCCAGCTGCCCTGTGCTCACGGCTCTGCCTTTGCTGGACCTTCGTGGACACATCGGGTGCCTATGCTGTCACAGTGGCGCCTTGCACATGGCACAGCATCATTGAGGCCACGCTGGAGCGCATCACGGCGCCATGCCCGCTGAGTTCAGGCTCCATTCAGGGCCTACGTGGACCACGCTGGTCTGCACATGGCTCGTGCCCACTCTGCGTGGTGGGCCAGTGGACATCCATGTACTCCGTGGGCATGCGTTCCTCTCTCCGGGACTGGGGGCTGGGCTTGCCAGATCACGTGGAGATGCCACGGGGGCCCCAGGGGGAGCACAGTACAGGGATGATTTCCTCTTGTTTCCGGAGTGTCTTCTGCGGGAGGGGGCTGCCCATGGGTGCAGCAAGGGGGGAGGAAGGATGGGAGAGGCAGTCGGGAGCCCCACCCCACTGACCAGCTCCCCCAAGACCATCAGTACACACACTCCTGACCCTTCCACCACCTTGGGTGGATTCCCAAGCAAGGCCCCCGGTGCCTCCTGGGACGGGGGAGGCAGGCACCCCCCCGCACCACTCACGTACCCCCCAGTAGACACAGCCTGTGACGGGGTAGTGCTGCCCACACCCACTCCGGCCTTGGTGTTTCCCAGGACCCTGCCTGCTGGCCAGAAGCACAGTGGGTGCTCAGCGGGTGCCCATGAGCAGGCGTGCAGTCCCGCTCCCACAGCCGGCAGAAGACCCAGGAGGCCGGTGTTTGCTTGGCAAAGCGCCTGGGTACCTGTCCCCAGAGCAGGTGTCGTGCCGCCCTCCTGTGGTAGAGAGCATGTCACAGGCATTGAGGGCTAGCGCCTCCTCCCGCCCTCTGGGGCTCTGGAGACAAGGGTCTCCCACCTCAGGGAGCCTGGGGCCTGCACATGGGACCCCGCTGTGCCCCAGCAGCCCTGGTGTGGTGGCCCCGCAGTGACGCCCGGGCGCAGGCGCACCAGCCCCGAGGCCGCCTGGTGGGTGTGGTGGGGAAGCCTTTCCGCTGACTCATGCTGCAGGGAATTCCCTAATGACTAGGAGTATTTTTACTTCTGGGCTTGTGAGCAGTTTCCCAGGAGAAGCCCAGGAGCTCTTGATAAGGCTGGAACACAAAGGCCCATCCAGGCCATTTCCCTTCCCAGCAGAAGCTGACATTCTGCACCACACCCAGCCAGGCCCGCCACTGGGCTGGCCTCTGCAGGATGCGGCGCCTGGCCGGGTGGCAGCACAGCGGCCGCCGTCCCCAGCTCCCCGACATTGGCAGTGAGGGGGCTGCAGCTGGTGCGTGCAGGCACGGAGCCAATTTTGCGGTTTCCTAACTCACAGTGCGAGCCCCACAGCTGCCCAGCCCTGGCACCCTGGGCACTGCTGTGTGTCTCATAAGCCTTTGGAAGAGCCCCTACCAGAAGCGAGCACCAGCGCCTGCTCCCCTGGGCTGTGGGTCACACCAGATGGGGGACCTGGGACGCCGGCCTCCGAAGCAACCCGTGCACTGTGGGGGCTCCAAGGGCAGGACCTTTATGGGGTGTCTTACATGTCTGCACCCCACCTGTGGGAGCACATCTGTGCAGCCCTCCTGGAGGACAGCGGAGGATGCCGGGTCCCCTCGGATGCCGGGTCCCCTCGTAGCCAGCGTGATGCAGTGGGAGGCCCGGGGGGACCTGAACAGGCAGGCTGAGCAGTAGCCAGGTTTTCTCCCAATTATAGAACCTAAAGCTGTGTTTTGGGGGCCGTAGACATGGGCTTTGTCGTGAGAAATACTAGAAGTTGATCTTGACGGGCGTGAGAGGCTTGGCTACACACAGAGCGACTCTGGTTTCCGCACCCCAGGGAGGTGTGGGGGCAGCTGCGCCCCCTTGTGAAGGTGCCTGAAATCCACCTTTCATCAGCACGTGTGGTCGAGCTACGTACGGGTGCTTCTGTCGCCGAGTCTTGAGCTCATGGGACCCCAGAAGCTGTGCAGTTGCTGGGGCTCCCGGTGCCTCTGAGGGCTGCAGAGTGACGTGTCCCTAGAGGAGGGATGCGCTTTGTCGCCGAGGGGGCGCACTCCTGGAGGCTGGCACGGTCCGGGCGCTGACGCTGCTCCTGTCCACTGTGACTCACATTTCCTCCCTGTCGCCACCCTCCACCCTGGCCTGGCCGGCACTGTGAGGGAGAAAAAGGAGATTTTGTCTAATACATTTATAATTTAGGATTTGTAACACACACACACACTGAAAGCAGAGCATAAGCAAAACCAGTGTATAGTGGCTGTAATTGTGAGTTTGGGGAGCTGACAACACGGGGAGGGGGTGAGGCCTCTGGGAGGCGACATCTTAATTCAAAAAATTCAAAATAACCCCAAAACCAGCGCCTGGCAGCGTGCTGCTGGAGAGGGGCTCAGACTCGGGACGCGTCGGGGAGCCCCCACAGAGCCGTCTGGACCACGGCCCCCGCGGCCTGGCCTGCAGAGCAGTGAACCCTTTCAGGCACCCAGAGCCATTTCGCTTCTTTAAGCGTGCGGGCGCGGCGGGGGAAGGGTCAGAGCGCCCCGTGTTTTGCATTTCTGTATCCTGATGTGGCGAGAAGTAGGCAAGGGAGGGATTTTCTTATTTACCCTGCGGCTGCCCTGAGCGCTGGCTCCTTAGAGTGGCCCTGCTCCCAGGTGGCGGGCTCTGCAGGCTGAGGCCGTTAGGCTGGCGCCCGCGTGTGTGCCCGAGGCAGCAGCTGGTGGCCGCCGGCCGTCCCGGGTCTGAGGGCAGCTCACTTTCTTCGGCGGTCACCCGTGTTTGTCTTGGGCTCACACTCCCTTGAAAAAGTGGGGTGTCCCTCCTGTGACCATGGCCTGAGGACACGGGCCGGGGGTAGCTTCCTGGGCTCCCTGCTACCCGGCTCCTCCTGCCAAGCAGCGGTCTTTGGGTTCACCAGGCCCTCTGCACCCCGGTTTGTGTTTGACTCAGTGTCTCTCATCTGGCTAGACTTCCCACTCGTGTGAGTTAATAACCAGGATGGCCCAGCCAGGAGGGGAGGCGTTGGTCCCGGGTCCTGCCTGGACCAAGGCACATGGTTTTGGGGGCCCAGCCAAGCACACACAGTAACAGAATGTCACCCTTCCTTCCAGACGGTCACCACATCTGGGAGATGGAGGCAAAAACCGACCGTGACCTGTGCAAGCCAGTAAGTACCCACTGACATGCTGTCGGGTGACAGATTGGGTGCCCATGGGGGTGGTTCCTGGGCTGCCAGGTAACAGATTGGGGTGCACGGGGGGTGGAGGGGTCCTCGCCTGAGGCACATGGCTGCTTGTTGGTTACAACAAGGAGTAAACAGAAAGAAACAGGAGAAGTTGTAAAACACTTCCTGAAGCAGTGATTTTAGGATGCATGATGGGATAGAGATAGGACAGCAGTGGAGGGGGGACAGTGGATGGGGACAGTGTGGAGACAGCATGTGGGGACTGCACATGAGGACAGCGTTGCTGACCCCTGTGCACCCGGGCCCACCCTGCGCTCACAGGCAGCTCTGTCAGGATGTAAGCCACCCTCCACGCTCTAACCCTTGGCCAGCGGCCTCTCTGAAAGGTGTCAGCTGCAAAGGTTCCCCTGGCCCCCAGGATGAGACCCCTGGTCGCAGGTGGCTCCTCCTCCGTGTGTCGCCACTCTGTGAGGCCTCCGCTCGCAGGATGTGGCTGCCGGGCCTTCACCCGGGCCCGGCCACACAGGCCTGTAGCTGCGGCTGGCTCATGGCCTGAGGTTCCTTATTTGAACAGTTGCCTATTTTTGTTGTTGTTGTTATTTTGTTACATTAATCTACAATTACATGAAGAACAGTATGTTTACTAGGCTCCCCCCTTTACCAAGTCCCCCCCACACCCCATTACAGTCACTGTCCGTCAGCGTAGTAAGATGCTATAGAGTCACTACTTGTGCACTACTTGCACAGCCCTCCCTGTGCCCCCCCACATTATACATGCTAATCATAAGGCCCCCTTTCTTTTTCCCCGCCCTTATCCCTTCCTTCCCAGAACAGTTGCCTATTTTAAAGGAAGCTTAACAGTTAGTAGTTTTGTTTTAAAAGAAATGCAATAATATGTGTGAATCATACGCTTTAAGAGACGATTTCACCCTTACCTCTTAAATGGGGTTACACTTTTTTCTAATTATAAGAGAATGTTGTTGTAATTATTGTTGAAATGTGGAAAATACAAACACAACAAAGCATAAAAACAGAAACAGCTGGTATAATACCACCACTTCGATGTACCCACTGTCCACATTTGGGGTATTTCTTTGTCTGACAGGTGTGAATGTGCATGTATGTGCATTCACACACATGTACACGGTGTATCATACACATTTTTTAAACAAATTGGGGTTGTGCTGTGTGCGTGGTTTCTGTTCTGTCTTGGGCGTTTGAACTGGATTTTTGTAGGCCAGTCGCATGGGTGCATTGAGTGCCGCCCGGAGCCCTTCTCCCGCCCCTCCTTTCACTGCGTTCAAGCCTTCCCACGACGACAGCATCTCGCACATTTGTCTGTTTGGCAGTTGAGGCATATCAGCCTGTGCCCACATCGAAACACGACCCTGCAGTCACTTAGAATTCACACGCACAGGCCTCACGGAGTAGAACCTGCCCCGAGGCTGCAGCGCCCACCTGACACACCTGCCCTGCCCCTCTGGCACGTCACAGGCACTCCTCACCACCACCCTGCTCCCCACTTGGGTTTCAGATCTCGGCTCAAGCACGACCTCTTCTTTTCGTCTCCTAATTTCTTCTGTAGAGGTTAGACCTCTTCGACTGCTGACTCGGTAGCAGCCCGACATCACCGAGCACGGGCTCTGTGCCATGTGCCAGTCTCACCTACATCGTCTTGCACACACCTGAACCCTCAGGGAACAACCCGAGGGGCTGCTTCTCTTTGTCTTCCCTGGACAAATGGTGAAACTGAGGCCCAGCGGGTATCTGGCAGGGGGAAGCCCACCCTGTCCAGCCTGAGCCCTGCTCCACCACGGGTGCTGCTGTGGGCGCAGCACCACGTGGGGGTGTGGCAACATGCACGTGAGCTCCCCGCCCCGTCACCTGTGTGCTGTGGGCTCCACACCGGCAGGGTGGTGTTTGATAAGGGGACAGCACAGGCAGGGGGAGAAGTGTGCCTGTCGTTTCTGCAAATGAGACAAAACCATTAAAACAACAAGAGGAGTGCCTGGAGGAAAAGCGGACAACCCGGAGGCGGCGCCCACACAGGCCCGTGGCCCTGCCGCCCGCAGCCCCCACCACCTGTGCGCTCGGCCCTCCATCTGTAAGCAGAAGAGGCTGGGCCTGAATTCTCTTCAGTTGTTTATTAGAATTTCATTATTAGCACAATTCAATCATTTTGTTAAGTTGGATAAAAAGCTACAGTTTAACAGAGGCACACAGTGGGTTTTTCTTGTACACTGTACATGTCATTGCCCTGTTACAATTCATTACATCGTTGACTGAAATCAGGACAAAAAACTGAAAGGACTTTTTGGTCGTGAAGTTCTGCCCAGCCCCCAGAGGCCAGTGCGGTTCTGCCTCGTCCAGGTGTTGGCACCGGGCAGGGGGTGTCCACCGGCATCGGCTGAGTGCACGCAGTCGGGACTCATAGCCTGTCCCTTCTCCCACGGTGCCCTGCTATGCAACGGCAAACTGTTTATATTTCTGTACTTGAAGGATTACAATTTTTGTGAAAACATTGCTGATTTGTGTTTTAGAATTGGAAGGTAACACAAGTACCGTAAGACACCCCACTCTGCTCTATCTGCCTTTGCCCAGCACCCCCCAGTCTGCTGAGTGGCCAGCTCCCTGTGTGCTCAGGTTGAGGGGATCTGGGGTCAGTGATGGGGGCTGTGGCCCGTTGTCACAGGGCCTGTCCCCAGAGACATGTCCCCAAGGAAGCATGGGCCTGGGTCTCCACTGCCAGCTTCCTGTGCTGGTTCTACGGCTCCATCCTCACCTCAGCCAACAGGGGGCTTCTTTTCGGGGTTCACAAGGTCACTGATCCTTAGGTTTAGCATGGTCAGCCTTTGGGGGGTCCTCTGGAGCAGCCTTCCTGCCTCTTCTCTGGCACGCAGGCTTCTGCTGGCTGAGGCGGGCATCCCGGGTGGAGCCCTGGCCGGCCTCCCGCACTCACCGCCTCAGGCCCCCTCTCCGCTCAGGTGTGCCGGAAGTCAGCACCCTCTTCCCCAGCCCTCATGTGACTGACGGGCCGGCCTGCACACGTCTGGGGGCGGCTTCGCGAGGCAGCCTGACAGCTAGGCACTGCGCCCTGTCCTGTGTGCCGCGTGGTTAGAGCCCTCTTGGTGTGAGCTGCTCTGCGCTCCTGTGGTGCGAAGGTTCCCTGCCGTCTGCTTTCTCCTAGAACTCGCTGGTGGTGGAGATCCCGCCTTTTCGCAACCAGAGAATAACCAGCCCCGTCCAAGTCAGTTTCTACGTCTGCAACGGGAAGAGGAAGAGAAGCCAGTACCAGCACTTCACCTACCTTCCTGCCAACGGTAACGCTCTCTTCCTAACCCTAAGCCCTGACTGTGAGCCAGTGGGGTACTTTTTCTAAAAGATGCAGGAACCAGGAGACGCTGTTGCTGCAAAACTGTATGGTTGCGTTGTACACGATGCTGTGCTGTCACCTGTAAGCAAGACCGTGTCACCGATTTCTCAAGTTCTTAGTGTATTCTCCTTCACTGTGTGGGGGGTGGGGCTGCATCGGGGATCATTACTGACCGCTGTGCTGGCTGCTTGCGAGCGAGTGACAGCCAAAGGGGGAGAAAGCGCTGCTCTTCTGCACCCGGAAGCCGAGGGGTCTTGGTGTGCGCTGGAAGTCTGTAGACGCTGAAGGTGCAAAAGCAGATAGTTGCAGTCACTTCGCAGGTGCCTTTAGAAACCCTTGCTATTGAGCCTCAAGGCCGGTGCCCGGTGTGGCCGTTCACTGATATCAATGAATTCTGTGCTCATGCGCATTATATCCCACACGGTGTTCGTCAGTGAGGAATCGCATCTCCCTGTGCCTCAAGCCTCAGGCCCGAGTACCCTTTTGCTCCTCCAGAAAGTATCCTTGTTCAGATTTCTGTTCACACATTTTGAGGATGGATTCTTATGACTTAAAAAAGATAAGTTTACTTTATCAACTTCTTAGGGTGTTTTCTTAAAGAAAATACCATCGTTTGTTCTGTTCACCCCTAAACCAGCATATGCATGAGCGGCGCTGTGCGCCCCTGAAGGGCTGCAGTCGTCATCCCAGGTTTGACTGTATTTCATGTGAGCTCAGCTGTGCTAACAATCTGTTTATACTGTAGCTTTGCTCTGAGAACTTGAGGGATGTATATGATTTAAGAGGAAAGTTGTACACTAGACATGCATTACAAAAGCAGCCTTGTTATCTTAGTAAAATCATGATTTTTTGAAGGTCCCATTTTTCTCTTAAGGGTAAATCATTTACCGTACGTGAGATCCTAGAAAGCATGGAATATCTGAGTTGCTGTCAAGCACAATGGCTGTTTTCCAGGCAAACATTGGTCGTGCCTTTCAAGCCCTGAATGATAGGATTGTGTCGTAAAACTGCCCCATCAAGAGAGTGTACAGCTAGGGCTGCAGAGACAGCGTGCACCTGTCCGCAGCCACGGTGGGAAGCGTGGGGAGTGTGGTTTGTCCACGCGTCCTGTGACCCTTCCAGATGATCGGTGTCTGTATGTACTGTGGGCACTTCGTGAATCCTGTCCATTCCCTCAGTGTAGCTTACGAAGGGAAAACATATTATGTTTATCAGAAAACATAATGATTGTGACTTAATTAAACTTCAAGCATGGTTGACCAAAAATTTAATGTTTTAGAGAAAACTTAGGCCTTATAAAGAAAAGTTGCTTTTCAAAGCAGTTTAGAAACAAGCCCTGACTTTCATGTCTCTGCCACCCACAAATTCACGAGGCATCAAGCCGTCTGCACTCAGCCGCGTTGGGCCGCGGCCTCAGCCTGACCCACACGCCCGGCCTGGAGGTGCGCCCTGGAGCCCCAGCACGTGCTCCTGAGATCACAGGGCGTGAGGGCACCTGACCTGGCCCCGCCTGCACAGGCGATCTGTGCCCAGACCCCCAATCTGCCCCGACTCCCTACATTTGCCCAGATCCCCCACATCGGTCCAGACACCCACAACTGCCTAGAACCTCCAAATCTGCCCAGAACCCCCATCAGCTCAGCTCCCATCTGCCCAGACCCCCATACCACCCAGCCCCCCCAACATCTGCTGAGACCCCTTACATCTGCCAAGACCCCATATATTTACTCAGAATCACCAATATGCCTAGACCCCCTACATCGGCCCAGCTGCACCCCTACATTTGCCCAGATTCCCTACGTCTGCCCAGAACCCCCAAATCTGCTCAGACTCCATATATTTTCCCAGAACCACCAATCTGCCAAGGACTCCTCCATCTGCCCAGACCCCCATCTCCATGCCGTAAACAATATACCCCTGGCCTCTGACCCCAGCTGGCACCCTGCTCCACCCACAGAGCCGTCGTCCGCCTGTCAAGCAGTGACCGTCAGCCTCTCTTTGGGGCCCGTCTGCTGTCATCGCTGCTCTCCTAGGAATTTCCCAGCTCCACTGAGCCGAGGCACCAAGCTGCCTGCCCCAGAGGCGCCTAGCCCTGGTGTCCTGGGGTGGCATGTCCTGGGCAGGGGTTGCGATCTGGCCCCAGGCCCCAGACTGTGAGCTCCCAGAGAGCAGGGACCACGGCCAGCGTCTGACCCCATGTTGCATCAAGCCTTCCTCTGTGGTTTCGAACATGAATAAATGAAAGTGAAAAACCAGAAGGCACGCCCCCGGTCTTGGTCTGGTGTCTGCCCGCCACCTCCTCCGCCTTCCCCAGCTTTGGGGCCGAGGGTCAGTAGGCTGCAGCCGCGAGCAGGTGCTCAGTGCCAGTGCACTCTGTTGGGGGGCTGCCTGGGGAGGCTCCGCTCCACGCTTCATTGCCAGGCACCCCCAGGGTAGACGATGGGGCCAGCAAGCCTTCCTGTGTGTGACCAGGGCAGCCTGCCATGCGTTATTCCCAGCCCGGGTGGTGAGGCTGGCCTCGCTGCCCCAGGGGTGCAGACCGTGGGCTCCAGCGGGCCAACAGCCCAGTACTCGGGGCCCTGCTCCAATCTGCCAGGGCATTGCCTTGATGGGTCACAAAGCATGCCGTTGAGACACACAAAACAGTGGAGATGTGTTTATACCCTGCCCATTCTCATGTACAGATAGGTAAAATCGAGTCCCATTTGGGTTTTCCTTCGAAACCGGGTGTGAGCCAAGGTGGGAATGGCACTTCTCACCAGGCGCGTTTCTGTCACAGACACGTGGCCCCGGGAGGCCCACACCCCAGGACGGCCATGTCACGCAGACCCTCACGTGGGGTGGGGCGCCTACCACCCTGGGACAGGCCCCGGGGCCCTTCGGGTTGGGAGTGAGAGGCCTGAGACAGCCCACCCGCCAACGGGCTGCTGGTCCACCCCAGGAAGGGCGGTTGGCCTGACGTCCCCCCACCCAGCCGCTTATTCAGTGGAGAAAGTTTCCACTTGATGGTGAGTGCGCCGCACACCGGAAATTCCCCACACGCAGCCCCTCCTACATCCCCTGGATGGCAGCCCAGGGCAGGGCGGTGAGCAGGCCAGCTCTGTCCTGCAAGAACACACGTGTCTGCAGCCAGAGCGCTTAGGTTCCCCACGTGTCGCTGTTTACTGTGCCCGAATGCAGCCCTCTGGGAGCACAGCCTCCTGCCTTCCAGCCGTCGGGAGCAGAGGGTGCTGGTGCCTCTCAGGAGTCAGACGCTTTGCCAGGACAGCTACAGTCCTGGGAGGCTGTTCCCACACTGCAGCTCAGATCAGAGGTAGAAAAGGGCCTGAGCTGTGGGGGGCGGCTGCCCGGGTTTGGGGGCTCACATGCCAGGAAGCTGCCCTGGTGCCCAGAACACGCAGGAGGGCTGTGCACTCAGAAGGGGAGAGAACTTCTAGGTCATGCTATCAAAATTGCATCCCCAGGCGATGTCTTGAAACAAGAGAGCCCGTCTCTTCACCTGAGATGTTTTTAGTCAGTTTCCCAGAAATGCTGGTGGTGGGGCCTGTGTCCCCGCTGCCCAGGCCACGGAGGAAGGGTCCTGGAGCTTCAGCAGGGTCGGCGGAGGCATGCAGCCCCCAGCCGTTGTCAGGGGTCCCTTGAGGACCAGAGCCCCCTGCCCGGGGCCCCGTGTGTCCTTCGCAGTCCTGGGGAAGTCACATAGGGGCGACAGCTCAGCTTGCGGCAGCCTCTCGGATGAAACCAGCTTTGGTTGGCGGGAAGGAACGCGCATCATCCACTGGAAGGGGTCACCGGCTGGGTGCCCAAGATGGCTGCAGGCTAGAGGTCAGCTGTCTGCAGAAGGAGCTTCACGGAGAGGAGCCGACCGCCATCTGCCGTGGCCAGATGACAGCCCACGACTGGAAGGCTGCAACACTGGGTCTGTGGCCAGACTGGCTACACGCCACCACCTGCAGAGGCGGGAAGCAGTGTGGCCGCTGTTCACATTAAGCCCACAAATGGGCAGCTGGCCAGACCAGTGTGAGAGCAGGTGCGGCCAGAGCAGAGGGGTCAGCGTGGGCTCCTGACAGCAGCAGGGAGTGGCCGCCACCCCCTGACAAGCAGCTCCGAGCATCTGCAGGCACCAGGCTCGCCATGGCTGGGTGGCCTTGGTCCGACCTGGCAGCAGGGGGCTTGCGGGCAGGCTGTCCAGCCCCCTGGGCCCACCTTCACCACGAACGTCCAGTTTGCCTGTCGGGCTCTCTGGCTTACAGCTCTTCAGAGCCTGCTGGGCTTAAATTCAGTCCCAAAGTAGGCAGACACAGTGTGATGGGGCGACCGGTCTCTCCAGGGGCCTCCCCTGCCTCTGGGCCCCCACCCAGCTGCCTGTGGCCCCTTGGCCAGGTGGGTGGCCTCGTCTGGGCATCAGCTGCAGTGTCCCACCTCCCAGGGACAGCAGCGAGCCCAGGTCGGGCAGAGTGTGCTGTGGCCACAGGTCCTGGGGACACCGTTCCCGTGCTGCGGCCTTATATTCTCCTTACCTGGGTTGCGCGGGCGCACGAGCGTGGGCCTCCAGCCCTCTGCCCTGGCAGGGCCAGTGGTGCGTGCCAAGGCGGAGCCAAGCCACTGTGCCCACCTGTTCCCCGGCCAGTGCTGAAGCCCCGTGGGCTGAGGCCTGAGCCGCTCCTCACTGCAGGTCACCTGCCAGCTTCAAACCGAGAAGAGCGTGCAGATGTGCCCGACCCCGGCCGCGGAGGTTAGGACATGCCAGGTGCCCAGGCCACCACCCTGAACCTCTCTCTCAGGCGCAGTGCAGCCGAGTGCTAGTATGGCAGGAGGAGGCTGTGGGCATTCTGGGATGCCCTTCCCGAGTTGGCTCAGCCGTGTGGCCGCGTGGCAGGAGGAGCGTGTCGGCAGTGGGGGTGCCCGTGCGTGGCTGTGAGCACCAGCCTCCTGCAGGATGCACTG